GCTTAAAATTCAGTACTTGAAATTTTCAGTACTTAATTTTCAGTTTTATCAAACAGCACCTTAGTTTGAATGAATTTAATTGATAAAGTTCATCTTCCCAGTTGATGTCTTACCGATTAAACCGAATTCCAAAGAGTTTTTTTTTTTTTTTTTTTTTTTTTTTTTTTTTTTTTTTTTCAAAAGAATCACGATTGTTTCTATACTCAACCTCCATTTGAAATTGAAAAATTACTAAATTTATTTAAAGAATGTACTGTATCAAGTGTTGAATAGGGAAAGAATACGAGTTTAAAATATTATATAGAAATTTGATGCCCCCTCAAAAGAAAAAAATGAGGATAAAGTTCATCCTCTCATAGGAGGACCCAAATATTAACGTAAAATTAATATACTATCAAATAGGTTTTCGAATTAATATATTTAGCACTTAAAAGTATAATTTTACCACTTAAAATTACAATTTTATCAAAAGGCACCTTACTTTGGATGAATTCTGTGATAGTACAAATTATGCACTCTCTGTCCATCTAAGTTGCCAACTGAACAATTGACATGGATTATTAGCGACACTGTTTGAATAATCATTAACCACTCCAAAGCCAACCTCCAATTTGATATTGTTTGTCGGTTACAACGACCAATTACATCAGTGGTTTCACATTTTTGGTTTTCTTGTCTACAAAATACAGTTGCGCTCATCAATCAATCAATCAATAAGCTAAGCTTCCTTAAAATTTTAATTTTACCATGCAACAATTCGTACCCATAAAGAGGCCTGCTGGCTGGAGCCACTAGCACAAACTATTCCGTGGTCATGGCTGAAGATTAATATTCCCTCCGCCCATATTAATAATCTAATTTTTTGTTTTTACATCTCTCAAATTAATTATTCTTTTTAAAAAATCAAAGGAAATAAATTTTATATTTCCATCATTATCTTTTATTTTTTTTAAAATTTTAAACTTTATAATTATATTATTTAAATTAGAAGAGACAAATTGATAATTTTAAAAAGAGACAATGCATTAAATGCATGTCCCTTCAAAACTCCCATTTTTAAAAATGAAATTCTATTATGGAATGGAGGTAGTATAACTAATAATAAATCTCTAATATCATAGAAGTAAACTCGTATGAGTATTCTGAAAAAAAAATAAACGTATATGAGTAATTAATGTGATAGGTGTATACTTTATTAAAGAAGCACTAGGCAACAAATAATTTTGTGGTGTATGAAGGTGCAATGCAATGTGTGAGAGAGAGAAAAAAAAAATGATAGAAAATTTAAGTTAAAAGAAACACGTTAATCACCTGAAACAAGCGTGCAAGTCAAGGATATAGATTTGAGAATCCATTGACATCCAAGAACTTGCAGACAGAAACTCATAAAATAATACGCAAAAAAAGAAAACATTTCATGTATATTCATTCACATACATTATCTCATCATCCTCCCTCTCCTTTCTAAAGTTAAAATGCATCTTCCTTTAATTAAAACTCAACCAATCTCTCTCTCTTACCGTTTGACTTTCCAAATCTTTAACCCCCAAATAACCACTGGCTTTGCATCACCCATGGCTGACCAAACCACCTCGATCGCTCAATCTTCTACAATTTGGAAAGAATATTAGGCTCTTCCCATTATCACCCAAGATGATGAATAGCACAACTGGCACCGGGGATCTTGGGCTCCGGTGACATCGGCAGCTTTTGCTATCCTTTGCTCATCACAACCATCACCCTTCATACTGCTGCAGCCGGGCTCACTCATCTGCAACAGCCCCAATGGCTCGGAGGGTTATTAGGGAGCCACTTGAACAAGAAGATTGTGTTGTTCATGTCGGGCTAGATGAGGTCACCCTATTGAATTACCCAAAGCTGCTTTACTCCGAAGCCAAGCTCAAGAACAAGGGATCTAGTACTGCTTTGTGCTGTTCCATTTGTTTGGCGGATAACAAGAGCAGCGATATGCTCCGGCTGCTAGCTGCCTGATTGCGGGCACCTCTTCCACCTCAAATGCGTTGACCCCTAGCTGCTGCTGCACTCAATCTGAACCTCTCCAATTCAAAAACCCTTTCAACTCCCTTGGCTGAGGTGGTTCCCCTGGCAAGCAGACGAGATTGACGATCAGTTTGGAATTTAGAGATTGCTCAGCATTCACCATTTGCTTGTCTTTCATCTTTTGCACACTCAACTCAGTAAAATTTTGGCAACCCACTTGTTGAAACAGGTTGTTTTACAATTAATGAAATTTCTTTTTTATTTTATTTATGTATTTTTTATTCTCATTTTCTACCACATACTGTAGTACAATTTTCAACATGTAAGAATGTGATAGAAAATGAGAATAAAAAATACATAAATATAAAAAATGCATTGCATTTGATTAGTCTTTTAAGGTGAATAGACTTGGCAAAGAACCATATATATATATATATATATATCAAAAGCAAAAAGTTTAAAGGTGGATGAAAATTACAAGGCCATCCATCGTTCTACATCTATGGTGAACTCAACTTATGGCAAATTCATATTTTAGTAACATTCAATGAGTCCAACACCACTAAAAAGAGCAAAAATAGCCAGTTGATGATCTATAATAGTATCTAAGGACCAAAATCTTCAGAACTCGACAAGTAATAATTTTCCTTAAAAAGCATGGTTTCAAATCTCAGCAGAGGTTGAGCCACAATTGGGTGCGGCTTCCGTCGAATGATTTACACATCTTGTTCACCTACGTATGACCTTCACACTGACAGGATTAAATTAAAAAAGGGCGGGAAAGATTTGATCATGACCTAATTAACCCGGCCAAGTGGAAAAGCATAGGTTCCCCTGTGGACATTTTAACCATTAATTTGGTCATGTGCAAGGGAAGATCCTAAATTTTGTTTAGTGATGGGATATGGAATCATCTGGATATATGATAGAAAAGGAAGGTGTAGTTAGGAAGTATAGAATTTTTAGATAGATAGATATATAGGAATAAAAGAAAGTGAAAACTACAGTTAATCCACTTGTTCTCTTATCTAACATTGAAGGGGATCATCTGAATCTCTCACAGAAAAGGGCAGGAGGGACTGTGGAGAGATTTGAAGACTTGACATGCAAAATGACACGTGGAGTGGAGACAAGGATGGGCTTGGAATAGACGGAAAGGTGGATCCCACAGGTATAGATCTTAATCGTAAAGCGGCCGCCGGGTAAGGTGGTAATCCTTGAATTGACTTCCAAGTAGCAAAAGTATAGTAGTAAAGGTAATGATACGAAAGATAGATACCATCTTTCTGGGGCTCTGAATAAGACAGCCTGAGCGGCTACCACCCTCTCTCTTCGAAGCACTCTAATAAACAGAAAAAGCGACTGGTTGGCCAGTTAGAAAGGATCTTTACCCGGGCCGACTCAGATCTTGCACGTCCCAGTTCTTGTTTCAGGTGATTACAATTTTACAAAAATATTACGTTTTCTAGCGTTAGGAGTAAAAACATGCATGCTTTAGAAATCAATGGCGGAGGGAGCATGTGCCAGTGGGCATCCCGTCTCCCGATTTCCTTTTTTTTTTTTTTTTTTTTTTTACTTTTATATGTATATTTTTCTGAAATTTCACAAATGATCCCTTTATGTCAAAAATTTGATTAATATGCATATTTCAAAAGTTAGATTTTTGAAATCCATCAACATATTACTATTATATGCTAACCGATCGATTAGTTTCAATTATACATGAATTAGTATCAAAGGTGAATTAGTAGCTGAGGGTATCTCCTCTACCCCCAAAAAGATAGGTGAGGGATCAAATTTTCACAGTAACAAATCCGTCCTACCGCCTCTGTTACCATGAAAGTGATCTTACACGAAACGAGGGGCGAGATTCCGGAACGACCAGACTTCTGTGGCGCGTAACACTGGATTTTCTATCTGTCTACCATATACTCCTGTATAAATGTTAATAACTTTTTTATTTTTTTATGTACATTTTCAGAATATAAGTACTTACACAAAGAATTTTTTAGTAGTAATTTATTATTTCCTCTCTTAAATTTTTTTTATTTTTTTGTTTTGGTAAAAAAAAATTGGGTCATTTTTTGATTTGTGAGTTTCATCCTTGCTTTAGGCCATCTTAAAGTATGGAAGAGTCTGGAGAGACTATTTTAGACTTTTTTTTTTTTTTTTTTTTTTTTTTTTTTTTTTAAGTGGGCGTTATTAGTGACCAGTGACCTAGTTGGCAAAGCCAAGTGTTATTAAAGTCAATATTAAGGAAATAATAATAATAATAATAATAATAATTTAAAAAGTAGAAGGGAAAAAAAAAATCTCAGAACTTACAGAAATTTAACTTTTAAAAGAAATTTAAAGAGTAAAAGAGAAAAGAATAAGAAAATTAATAGATAAATTTGAAAATTAAAATTTTAGGGGGCATTATATTAAAAATTCCATATATATATATATATACAAAAAATTTAAAAATTGGAGGGGGCACTTGCCCAGGCATACACGGGCTCTGCCTCCCTTCTTTCCTACCTAACAGAGGATTACGCTCAAATAATTGTGTTGGTTGGTTGGTAGGTAATAAAAATAAATTCTTAATATAAACTTTTGTTTGGTATATATATATATATTCAAACACATAAGGATAGCAAGATTTGTAGGCTATCTTGTCTCCTTTTTAAATGTTAGGAAATAAGTCGCTTGTACAGGCTTCCCTTGTTTAGTTCCACTGCCTGTCTCCAATGTTTCCACATTCTTCATTTTAAATTCATGGTAAGACTTGTGAAGACGCAGAAAAAGAGACAGACTAGCCGCCAAGAAACAAGATGGCATATGTCATGATGCATGCAAGGCCAACTAGTATACATGTATTTATGGATGGCTTCTTTATACAATATCATTCTTAAGTTTCTCTGATATAAAATCCAATTAAATCTTCCAAATCATTATCCACCTTTGTGTTCTTAATCTTGATTAATAATCTTCAGTGCTCTCTCTTTTCAGCATCCATAAATTGTGACAGAACTCAAAAACTGCAAGTTCAGCTCCCATATTTGTAATAGGTACAAATACCATATTTGTAAAAGGTATCAAAGATTGCACAATCTAATTTTGGTCTGCCGAGAGAAAAAAAAAAAGGGTAGCACCTTGTCACGGTTTCTTTTCAATTGTAGATTTGATTCATATTGGAATTTCAAAGATTTTCATTCTCTATCCATATCCTTTGTTTTCTATATAAACCCAATTAGTTTTCTTGTGATTTCTCATCTCTCAGTTCAGTTCAGTTAGTTCATTTCATTCCCCTGTTCTTCCTCTGTCATGGCTCCTCATAATGATCCTATCAACTCCATCTTTAGTGTCTTAAAATCCGATAATAAGGTTGAATGCTTTGCATTGTCTGATGGCAAATTATGTGTCAAAGGAGTTCCTTTGCTCTCCGAAGTCCCCAGCAATGTCTCATTCAAAAGTTTTTCTTCGATATGTCACTCTTCCAATGCTCCACTTCCCCTATTTCAGCGTGTCCAGTCCATATCAAACAAGGGTGGGTTCCTTGGATTCAGTAAGGAGGAACCATCTGATATGTCGATGAATTCCTTAGGTAAGTTTAACGGTAGGAACTTTCTGAGCATTTTTCGATTTAAAACATGGTGGTCTACACAGTGGGTGGGGAGTTGTGGGTCAGATTTGCAGATGGAAACCCAATGGCTACTCTTAGATGTCCCTGAAATAAGGTCATATGTCCTCATCCTACCCATCATTGATGGTTCCTTCAGGTCTGTTCTACGTCCGGGCATGGATGGTCATGTCATGATCTGTGCTGAAAGTGGTTCCACACAAGTCAAAGCATCATCTTTTGATGCAATTGCTTATGTTCATATGTCTGATAATCCCTACAACTTGATGAAAGAGGCTTATAGTGCTATTAGGGTCCATCTCAATACGTTTAGGCTCTTGGAAGAGAAATCAATCCCATCCCTTGTTGACAGGTTTGGTTGGTGCACTTGGGATGCATTCTACTTAACGGTAGAGCCTGCCGGCGTCTGGCATGGAGTGAAGGAATTTGCAGATGGAGGTGTCTCACCAAGATTTCTAATTATTGATGATGGATGGCAAAGCATCAATCTGGATGGAGGTGACCCTCACGAGGACGCGAAAAATCTTGTTTTGGGTGGGACTCAAATGACTGCAAGGCTTCAAAGACTTGATGAATGTGAGAAGTTTAAAAAGTACAAGGGAGGGTCCATGTTGGGTCCTAATCCACCTCCATTTGATCCCAAGAAGCCAAAGATGCTGATCTCTAAAGCTATTGAGGTTGAGCATGCAGAGAAGGCTCGCGACAAGGCCATCCAATCTGGCGTCACTGACTTGTCCCAGTTTCAATCACAGATTGAAAACCTGAAACAAGAGTTGAATGCTATGTTTGGTGGAGAACAGGATGGTGGTTCAAGCCAAACTTGTGAGAGCTGTTCCAGCAAAGCAGAAAATAATGGAATGAAGGCTTTTACAAGGGATTTGAGAGCACAATTCAAAGGTTTGGATGATATTTATGTTTGGCACGCGCTATGTGGTGCGTGGGGCGGTGTTAGGCCAGGAACAACTCACCTCAGTTCAAAGATAGTCCCTTGCAAAGTCTCTCCAGGGCTTGACGGGACAATGAGTGATCTTGCAGTGGTGAAGATTGTTGAAGGAAGCATTGGGCTTGTTCATCCTGATCAAGCCAGTGATTTCTATGACTCTATGCACTCCTACCTTTCCGAAGTTGGAATTACAGGAGTCAAAGTGGATGTTATTCATGTAAGTCTTTATCTCTCTTCAATCCTAGACTTTTAAGTAGTACTAAATTCTTGTAGCTTTTACAGTCTCTTACATAACTAAACTCTACATTTCTGCAGACACTTGAATATGTTGGTGAGGAATATGGAGGCCGGGTTGAGCTTGCTAAGGCTTACTACGAGGGGCTTTCAAAATCCCTTTCCAAGAACTTCAAAGGAACTGGACTTATCTCTAGCATGGAACAATGTAATGACTTCTTCTTACTCGGGACAAAGCAGATTTCTATGGGAAGAGTTGGTAAGATTTTTCAATCAAATAGTCTTCTCTAGAACATAATCACTTATAAACAGAAAAATGGCAAATGTCTTCTCTTTTCTTACCTGACACAAGGTCTCATAGCACTATATATTGTTTGTTACCGAAAGGTAGTGATACCCTCTTGTCACCAAAAAAATAATAAATAATTGGTCATGGTAGTTAGTAATTTAGTTTGTTAGATTTTTTTTTTTTTTTTTTTTTTCTTGCAGGTGATGACTTCTGGTTCCAAGATCCAAATGGGGATCCAAATGGAGTGTACTGGTTACAGGGGGTTCATATGATCCACTGTGCCTACAACAGCTTGTGGATGGGTCAGATTATACAGCCTGATTGGGATATGTTTCAATCAGACCATCTGTGTGCCAAGTTCCATGCTGGATCGAGGGCTATCTGCGGTGGACCTGTTTATGTGAGTGACTCAGTGGGAGGTCACAATTTTGATCTATTAAAGCTACTTGTGTTCCCAGATGGTACCATTCCCAAGTGCCAGCACTTTGCTCTCCCAACCAGAGACTGCCTTTTCAAGAACCCTCTTTTTGACAGTGAGACCATTCTCAAGATTTGGAATTTCAACAAGGTTTCTGCCCCTCACCTTTGATCTAGTTACATTTTTTAATATTCTGCTTTATATATCTTATACCATCATCAATATCTATGACTAAAAAGTTTATCAATCTAATACGGTTTTCCATAATTTTGGGTAAATTAGGCTACAATTGGATTAATTTTTTTCTGCTTTTATAATCGTTTTTTACATTCAAAATTTTAGTAGTGACCTCCAAACAAAAACTAATTTTTTTTTTTATATTGAATGATGAATTTTTTTTTTTTTTTACATCATTCAATGATGAGATAACTCTCATGGGAATGGTTCTGCCTTAGTTAGCACGACTAATTTTCCAAAATGACCATGTCCTGATTGAAAATGTACTATATAATGCTTGGCTCTTGAACCAAAAATTTCAATTTTATCTGAGTAATTAATTTGGATTACTATGTCAATCATGACACGCTAAAATCTGTGTATGTTTTACAGTATGGAGGGGTGGTGGGTGCCTTCAACTGCCAAGGAGGTGGTTGGGACCCCAAGGAAAAAAGAATTAAGGGCTATTCACAGTGCTACAAACCAATGGCTTGTCTTGTGCATGTCAGTGACATCGAATGGGACCAGAAGATGGAAGCAACAAAAATGGGTGAGGCAGAGGAGTTTGCGGTCTATCAAAATCAGGCTGAGAAGCTATTCTTAGCGACTGCCATTGAGATCACCATTCAACCATCTTCGTTTGAGATTTTCAGCTTTGTGCCGGTTAAGAAGCTAGGCCTGACCGCCAAATTTGCACCCATTGGACTGACCAACATGTTCAACAGTGGAGGGACCATAATTGAGTTGGATTACAGTGAGGGTGGTGCAGAGATTAGTGCCAAAATTAAAGTTAAAGGTGGAGGCATGTTCTTAGCCTACTCAACTGAGTCACCGAAGAAGTGCTGTTTGAATGGTGCCAATGTTGGCTTTGAATGGATGGCTACTGATGGAAAACTGACCTTGAACCTTCCTTGGATTAAAGAGAGTGGTGGAGTTTCTGATGTAGTTTTTATCTTCTGAATTAGGTTCCGAATATGGGTGATAAAGATGGGAAGTTTAGTAGATTTTTTTTCTTTGACAAGAAATTCTCAAGCTTATTTTATCCTCAATTTTATACTTTGATGATCACATTCTGTTTTGGATGCCAGTAATTGACAATTCGGTCAACAATGTTATTAGTATTATTATTTTGTTTTAATGAAGATTGCTTCTTAGACTTTTGATATTATATGTTGATTAATGACCGCTGCTAGACTAATTTTTTTATCTTTTCCTAATTTTGGGAAAAAAAAAAAAAAAAAAGGTGGTTTGTAATTTTCACATTCGAAGCACCTTTATGAATAAGTCCAAAATAAATGTCTAATCTTGTCATATTAAACCTCACTATAATAATTTATTACCAAAGATTATACCCACACTTCACTTTTTAATGTTTGCATTATAATTTTAAATAAAATGATAATTTTAACTTTATCTTTACAAGTAAATAATTACTACCTTTAAAATGACAAAAATGTCTTTTTAGATTTCCTTTCCTTATTTCTACTCTTTATTATTTTAGGTCTCTTTTGACAAGACAAAAAAATAATTGAGCAATTTTTTTTTTAAGGGACCAAAAAATAAAAATTTTTGTAGACTAAATTGCCTCTTTTTACCTGACCAAAAAAATAAAAAGTAATCATTAAAAAAATTATCTCTTCTGACAAAAACATATTTATTGAAGAAATTATATTTTTTTTGTCAAGATTAACAAAAAAAAAAGGTACGAAAAGAAGAAGATTAAAAATATATATATCAATATTGAATAAATTATCTATTTTGATAAGACTAAAAAAAAAAAGAAGTTATTTTTATCTAATAAATTATTTATTTAGACAAGACTTATAAAAAATTATCAAAAAAAAAAAAAAAGTTACCTCTTTTGACTAGAAAAAAAAGTTAACTTTGTTAAATAAATATCTCTTTAGATTGTATAAAAAAAAAAAGTCATTATGGAATAAATTATTTCTTTTGACAGTCAAAAATACAATTATTAGTATGGAATAAAATATTTTCTTTGAGAGGACCTAAAATAAAGAATGCAATGACCTTCTAGTCATTTCCTTTATAAAATAATAATAATAATAATAAATGAAATGTAATTGGAGAAAAGTATAGTGTAAATATACCTCCCTTTATTTATTATTAATATAATAAAAAAAAATACTAAAACTCAAACCCGAATAAAAACACTGATGTAGAGTAAATTGATAGTTTGTTTCAATTATTGTTTTCCAATTCATGGAACTCCAATTCATTGAACATTTCAAATAATTAAAAAAAGATTTTTTTTTTTTTTTTTTCCGATATTTCGTGGGTAAAATAATGAAGCTTATGTTAACCTAAATTGATTTCTGCTAGACTTCTTGTATTCCCATACTGGTGGAGCAATGGATCTCTGGAGGAGTATTGTACACATATCTATTGAGTTATAAATGATAGTTATATAATGGCTCCGTCCCAAATTAAATGTCCACGGTTTTTTTAAACAAGACATTTTTTGGGGGCGGAGCGAATATATATATATTCGCATTTGTCTGAAATCATCAATAGTTGCGCATTCGTTCCCTTTTTTTAATTAATTTCATTAACGGTATCTCGCAGCCCCGCCGGATACAATGCGACCCTCTCGGAATCATCCAGCACCTAACCACCTTAAACCACCCTTCATCCCTATCAATCTTCAACCACCAGTCACCCCTACCAATCTTCACCTCAATGATACTAAGGCATCATCCTCTCACTTGCTTTCAACCAAAAAGAGTTACAAGAAAATTTACAAGCCAAAGCCCACTGCCAAGATCAATGCTATTCCAACGGTCACTCCATGTTCTATACCCCTGCAGATTGAAGTCTATGAACCCCCATTTCCACCTTCACATAAGAGCCAACATTCAGATCATTATCCTCCACCATCTTCCAAACCTATCAGGCCAAATCCCCCCCTGCATAATAAACAAACCATGTCATCTTCTTCCAAGCAAGCAACCCTATATAGGCACTCTCATGCACAGCACACTAAGCCCCCCTTATCACACCCAGCTACATTTCCAAACTCCATACAGTTACATCACAATAATCAACAAACCAATCTACCCTCCAACCCACAAACTAGCTTTATCCCAAAAAACACCGGCATCATCCCAAGGTCATCAAAACCATCATTACATAACACTGAACCCACTAAACCTCCAACACATACTTTCCCCCCTAAAAATTTCAACCCATTGCTCTACGACTCACCTGGTCACCAGATTGAAAGGCTCCAAGAGCAACTTCAATGGTCTGAAGAAAATTTGGGTAAATCAATGGACATGCATTATGAGTAAAATAAGACCATTTACGAACTGAGGGATGAAGTTTCAAAACTTAAAGCAATGATCCCTCAGCCACCACCAGCTACTACCACCACCACTGAGGTGATTACAGCACAAGTGGTCAACCCACCACTTACTTCAACAATCAGTACTACTGTGGCTTCCCCAACAGCAACAGCAACTGTGGTCCCTCCACCACCAAGCTCCACCACCATCAACATTCCTCTTACAGCTGAAGTTTTACTCCATCCACCACCTCAGATCTCCACAACCACCATCTCTACCACTCCAACAGAGGCACATCCACCATTGCTGAGGTCAGGTTCAATTTCAAATTTGAATTTCAAATCTCCGAGTTTGGTCAATGCTTCTCTACAGGCTACAACAAAACAAGTTGCCCAAAAGGGATATAACTTCACATGCCTTCTAAATAGTACCATACCAACCCTTACTTTTCAGCCCAATATAGCAGTCCAACCACCACCTCATTTAAAACCAACTCGCCTAGCTTTATCACCAATCACCACATCAACTTTACCTGCCCTGTCACACTCTAGCACACACCTATCAACTTTACCTGCTAAATCTCCACGCACCACCAATTTAACTTCTAAACCAACAGCCACAACCTAAGTCTTGGTTCAATGTTGTTCAAAATGGTACAAACAAAGTGAAATTTGCCTATATTACTCCTCCCTCTGGTAATTCTAATACCATTGAACCCCCAAAAGAGGTAGCCGACGAAGGGTTGATTTTCTGGTCTTCCTATCACTTGGTAGGATTCTCCATTCACAAAAAATTACCCTTCAAGGTTATACAAAATGCAGCAGCTAAGCTATGGAAATCATTTGGATTAACTGACACTCTCCTTGGGGAGAACAACTCCTACATCTTCAAGTTCAACTCCACATCAGATATAGACAAAGTGTTATCTCATGGCCCCTGGTTAATAGCTAGCCACCCCTTCTCATTAAGGAAATGGATCCACTCTAACAATCCTCAGCCTACTCAGTTGGAATGTCTACCCATTTGGACCAAGTTCTACAACGTTCCACACAACTACTGGACTGCTAAGGGCCTAAGCCACATTGCAAGTGTTGTAGGAGAGCCGCTATATGCTGATGAAGCAACAGAAACAAGAACCAAGTTGAAATATGCAAGGATCTGCATCAACATTGACCTCAGCAAACCTCTGAAGCATGAAGTTCAACTCAAAATGGAAGACATGTCAATTGAGGACATCATAATCGAATACCAATGGTTACCAAAAATTTATGCTAAATGTAGACTCCTCAACCATTCAGAAGCTAATTGTCCCCTCAATTTCATCAATAAAGCTTAAGGAAAGGGTACTGCAACTAACACAAGCACCACCAGTCTTCAAGTCCATCCAATAACTGAAGGTTCTCCACATAAAGATCACAGTCCTGCAATTCAACCATCCACAGAATGGATAACAGTTAGAAGAAAGAAGAACAAAGGCACTTCACTCACCACTAAACCATCATCACCAATAACTGACAAGCCATCAATTGTTAACCAATTCTCCACTCTACAACATCAAGATCTTGATCCAAATAAACTGGATTCACCCTCACCAATGCAAAATCCCTCCTCAAACAGCACAAATAACACAATGGTCAGCAATTCATTCAATGAATCACACTCTTATACAGCATCACCATCCCACCTCATTCTCCCCTCTACAGCAGGAAGCTCAACTTCTCCTCACCAAAACAACCCCATTCTCTCCTCACAACCTTTCCATATCATCCATGCCAACTCCTCATTGTCGAACCCCTTCTCCCCACAATATCTCTGTCATTCTAAATACAGTCCCTCAAAATAAAAAGCACAGGAAATCCAAGCTTCTTATCGAGGAAAAAAGTCCTTCCAAGACCACTGATGTGGTGCAGAGTCACATTACCCCATTTAAACAATTCCCATTGCCGGTTCAAGCCAGCAAGCACATTCTACCTTACACTTTTTGGCCTCATCCTCATTAAGTGATCCAGGAAGCTGCAACAAGCTTATGCAGGAAAGGAAAATGACTGCAAGAAGTATCAAGAAAGTAGCAAGAATGAAGGAGCTCAACATTTCAGGTTTGATGCATGAGGGTTCTTCAAGTAACCCAAGGCATCGTGGAGGTCACTTCTCCCCACCCTTCCTATGATCTCATTACTTACATTGAATATTAGAGGGTTGAATCAACCCTCTAAACAATCAGAAATTAAAAGACTAATTTCTGATAAAAAAATTGGATCTGGTCTCTATAGTGGAGACCAAAGTGGCACCTTCAAATGCTGTAGTTATCCACAAAAACATTGCTCCACAGTGGTCTATCATACACAATTATCATTTTTCAGACCTTGGGAGAATCTGGATAATCTGGAACCCCAATACTTTTAATCTGTCAGTAATTCATTGCAGCAGACAAGCAATTCACTGCTCAATATCATTGACTGGTTTTAACTCATCATTTTTTATCTCATTCATCTATGCTTCTAATTGTGCCACTGAAAGACAGATTCTATAGGATGAGATTAACCACTACTCAACAATCTTTGCCTTTTCCCCTTGGTTGTTAATGGGGGATTTCAATGTCATTCCCAACATTGGAAAGAAGCATGGTGGATCTATGAAATGGAGCACTGCTATGTCTGAATTCAAGGACTGCCTCCAAAATGCTAACTTGGAGGACCTTAAGTTCTGTGGGATTCTTTACTCTTGGTCAAACAAAAGTATGGGAGATGCTTGTATAGCCAAGAAACTTGACAGGGCATTGGTCAACCAAAAATGGACATCCTCTTTCCCAATCTCAGAATTAAATATCCTCCCCCCAGGTATATCTGACCACAGTCCTATTTTGGTTACAATTGACATCAACAAACCACAAAGGCATACCCCATTCAGGTTCTTCAACACTTGGACTTCTCACAAGCTTTTTACATCTTCAGTTTAAGGGGTTTGGGGTTCATACATAAAAGGAACAGCAATGTTTCAAGTTGTTCAAAAGCTCAAACAACTTAAAACAGTCCTAAGAAATAATTGTGCAAAAGATTTTTCAGATTTGGACTCAAAAATCCATGCCATCCAAAGTGAACTGCAGTCTTGCCAAATGGATCTTGACCTCTCTCCCAGTGACCCTACTCTTAGAGAATTGGAAAGTGCCCTCACCACAGAATTTTTGAGACTAGGGAACATCCAAGAAAATATTTTGAGGCAGAAGTCTAGAATGGCTTGGCTTAAGTTGGGGGACAGCAATTCAAATTACTTCCACAGATCACTTAGTTCAAGGAATAACAGGAAGAAGATTGTGTCCCTAACTCTTAATGATGGACAAGTCATTCATGATATGGAGGACATTAAAGTTCAGGTGGTTAACCACTTCCAATCCTTGCTAGGTCAATCTCCCCCTTCAACACACCAAATCACTGACCTTGCCCCATTCATCACCAAAGTTGTTCCCACAAACCTCCACCCCTACTTGGAAGACCTGCCAACCAATATGGAGATCCAAAGCTATATGTTAAAGCTAAACAAGGATAGAGCCCCTGGTCCTGATGGTTATAATGCTCTATTTTTTCAAAGTTCCCTGAATATTGTGGGGAGGTCTGTTATCAAAGCAATTTCAGAGTTCTTTAGAAATGGGAAACTCCTTGCTGAAGTCAACAACACATATATTGCCTTGGTCCCAAAATGTCAAAATCCAGCTTCACCCATGACTACAGGCCTATCTCTTGTGTCAACACCATTTACAAGTGTATTTCAAAACTTCTTGCTACCAGGCTCCAGTCCACACTGCCACTTCTTATTGATCAAGCCCAATCTGCTTTTGTCTATAGTAGGAAGATCACAGATCCTATTCTCTTAGCACATGAGCCGCTCAGAGGATACCACAAACATGGGACTCCTGCAAGATGTGCAATCAAGGTGGACCTCAAGAAGGCATTTGACTCAGTTAAATGGGACTTTATTACCAGCTGTTTATCATTGCATAAATTTCCCCCTAAGTTTATTGCTCTGATTAAAGCTTGTATCTCATCCCCTTCATTCACCATTGCCTTAAATGGTGAGTTTCAAGGCTATTTCAAAGGGAAAAGGGGTCTCAGCCAAGGAGATCCCATCTCTTCATTCCTTTTTGTCATAGTTATGGATGTTTTTTTTCTATTGTTACTAACTATGTGGGCAGAGTTTCATCTTTCAAGTACCATTGGAGGTGCAGGGAGCAAAAAATTACTCACCTATCCTATGCTGATGACTTACTACTGTTTTGCCATGGGGATATCTGCTCAGTTTCAGTTTTAAAATCTGCTGTAGATCTCTTCAGCTCAATGTCTGGCCTTGACATAAACTTATCTAAGAGTTCAGTGTTTTTCTCAGGCATCAATGATCACACTCAGAATAAGATCACTTCTCTACTTGGCATTCAAGCAGCTATACTACCAGTGAGATACCTAGGAGTGCCTCTCATCTCAACCAGCCTTAAAGCTGAGCATTGTAGCTTACTGGTAAGCAAAATTACCCACAGAGTTACTAACTAGACATTAAGGTATCTCTCTTACGCAGGAAGACTTCAATTAATCAAATCAGTGCTTGTCTCCACTCAAAACTATTGGTGCAACATCTTCATCCTACCAAAGGGGGTAATTGATGAATTAAATAAGATTTTCAGAAGGTTTCTTTGGTCAGGTCCGGAATTGAAAGCTTCGGGATCTAAGGTTACTTGGGGCAAGGTATGTGCCCCCAAACTTGCAGGTGGTCTGGGGCTTCCTAATTTGGAGATTGCTAATAGGGCTGGTATAATGAGATTCATTTGGGATCTCCAAATAGATAATTCTGATAGGTTGTGGGTAAAATGGTGCCACTCACACCTTCTCAAATCTAGAAATCTGTAGACTTTAAAATACCCACAACCATGCTCTTGGAGCTGGAGGAAAATGCTCCAACGAAGACACTCTGCCAGATCTCTAATCAAGCATACTATTGGGAATGGGGAAGATACAACTCTATGGTGGGATAACTGGGCTCCAGGGGGGCCTCTATGCTGGTTTCCAATGTCAGTTCTGACTGAGAGAGGATTTCATGAGAACATAACTCTTGACAACTTCATTGTTAACAACAATTGGTGCTTTCCCTCTTCCCTCACTAATGCCATCCCAGAATTGCTTAGCCTTCTAGACCCAGTTACTTCTACAAGGGACACTAGGCAGTGGACAGCTTCTCCAAATAAACTGTACTCATTCAGTCACACTGTATCACATTTGGTGGGGGACCTTCATATTGCACCATGGCACAACCTTGTTTGACATTCTCCATCCATTCCAAGAATGAAGTTCATTCTTTGGTTGGCAGTCCAATCGAAGTTGCCAACTCTTGATTCTAAGTCAATGTCTAAGCACATCAATATTTGCTCCCTTTGCAACATGTCAACTGAAACTTATGACCACATTTTTATAAATTGCTCATTTGTTTCCCTTCTGTGGCGTTTTATCAAATACAAAATGAACATTCACACAACCATCAGGACCTGGGATTCTCTTGTTCAGTGGGCAAGCAATCAATGGAAGATAAAGAACTCAGTTAATCTCCATAGAAAATTGGGGTTATCAACTTTTGTGTATTATACCTGGGAAGAGAGGAACTCCAGAATTTTCAGAGGGAAAAGGGCCTCCCTTTTCAGCTGTGTGTGCTAAAATCTGTTCCACCATCTCTGCAATTCTGAAATTGGGTTGCCTTCGTGATTGTCCTTCATCTAGATCTATTCTCGCGGACTGGAACATCTCTCCGTCTTGCTTCCGACCCCCTCTTCAGCCGCCGGACTAATTCACATCGGCTCAGCTGCCCGATTAATCCTCTTGGCTCAGCCGCTACTCCTCTGTCACCGGAATGAATTTTTGACTCTGTTAGTTAATGCTGTCTCTGGTAGTTACTTTTTGTTTGGAATATTTTTTTCCTTGTTGGGCTGGTTCTTTCTACCTAGTTTCAAGCTTTGTCTTGCTCCTTCTTTTGGGCTTAAGGCCTTTTTGTAATTATTATCTTTATTAATGAAAATTGCTTTAATTTTCGGGAAAAAAAATAATAATAATAATTTCATTATTCGTCCATTGTTGTCTTTAAAGAATATGAAAACTAGAAGGGCCGGTGAAGGGAGAGGTTGGTCGTCGTGGATCTCTAGAAATATTGAAGAGGCGGTGAAGGGAGAGGTTGAACGTCACCGATCTCTGAAAATATTGAAAGGCCGGTGAAAGGAGAGGCTGGTTGAGTGGTCGTGGCCGATCGCTGCAAAGAGTGAGGAGAAGAAGGTCAAGGATATGCATCATTGTAGACAATGATCCAAGAGGGTTTGGTTTGTGTTAGCAAACTTACCAAAATAAATGGGTCTGTTGTTGGATCTTTAAAATAAAATAAATATGGGTCATTTTGTGTTGGACTTAATAGGAATATATTTTATAAAGATATATATATTTAGATCTCATCAGTGAAGATTTATTTTATAAATGGACTCGTGTAACAATGAATAAAATTTGTTGGGCTAGATAAAAAATTTATAAGTTACTAATAAACGAATTTAGACGAGCCTACCATTGACCCCCGAGCTACAGCCAACGCTCCGTCGCTCCCCGCCAAACTACCGGTCCTACACTCTTCCTTCCAATAAAAGGAGAGTCAGAGGTAAGCGAAGAACATCCCCATTCTCTCTCTAGAACAAATATATCCATCTCTTGCGAATCAAAGCCCTAAATTGATATATATATATTTATACACACAATTATACATACATATATATACACCAATATTTGTTTATCTACGTGACAGATTGGAGATCAGATGGCGGTGCTTCAAATCAAGCTCATCTTTCCCCTCCTTTTATCGCTGTGTCTGCTTGTGCCTTTGACTCAAGCCACCACCACCAAGGTCGAATACTGCGGTGAGTTAATTTTCTTGATCTATTGTTCAACGTTTCTTTGTCAATTCTCGTGATTCAGATTAATCATCCTCAGTTATTGAGAGCAACTTTTAAGTAGGTTTGATCTTTTTGTCATCTGCAACACGTTTATTTGGTTGATTAGGGTTTTGAATCTGCAGTTATCATAATATTAGGTTTTGGAATAATCCAGTCGTGCCTATTGTTTCTTTAAATACAGTACAGAAGCTATTCGTCACTACTCTATTGTGAGAATTTTATTCCACGCCTTGTTTGAAGCTACTATATGGTTTTGGTTATGAGAATTGTTTTTTCATAAATTTTATAGGAAAATCTTAGGTTCCGCGTACTGCTCAGGTTGGTCACTGAGAAATTGTGGGAAAGGAGAACTGAAATCTATTCTAGATTTTATTTTTTTGTTCATTATTGGGAGTTAACAAAACAAAATTATAAAGTTAAACTATGCTATATTGATTAATAATTTTTAGCAACCAAAAGGAACTATTGTTTTTATTATTATTTACACACGCGTATGATTTCTTTATCTCCTTTCAAGCTCTATAGCACTACAGCATTGAAATGGAGAGAAAAAAAATTTTCTTTGTGAAATATTTTTGGTTGTAAAAACTTAATCTCAATCACAATGTGTTCCTATGGTAACTTTTAATTGCTGCTGCTGTAGATTGAATGTATTTCTGATATATTATAGAATTTTCAAAATAAATGCAGATAAGCATGCTGACTATCCTGTTAAGGTTAGTGGAGTTGAGATATCTCCTTACCCCGTGGCCAGAGGCAAGCCAGCCACCTTCAGCATTTCTGCATCCACAGGTAGTATTAATTTCAGATACCGTATTCCATTTTGTTTGTTGTACTTTCCACAAAGTTTATTTCACCCACTTCAATCATAATTTTGATTTTATATTGATCCAGTAATCAGTCTAAATGACCTGCGATAATTTCATTTTTCATTGTTCTGTTTTTGAGAAGGAATTTTGTTGCTATTATTAATGCTGTTATAGTCAGCTATTATTTTGATAAGTAAAGGTAACAGTGAAGTGGCCGGAGTGTGGGAAGCCCATGTGTGCAATGTATACAAGAGTGAAAAACAAAATAACCTACCTGCTGCTAAAAACTAAAAGGCCTAAAACATATTATTTTTTTCTTTTTTCTGTCATGACCGTACTCAAACTTAGCTCACCTAAAAACCTAGAAAAGAATCTGAAAGAATTAGATCCTCTCAGAAAACCAAAAATAAAGAACAAAATGCCACTTTCTTTAGCATATAAATTGGTAACTCCTTATCTTTAAATGTTATCTTTTCTACTCTTTCCAAACTATGTTTACCAAGAAATGCTCATACTATAGCAATTTTTATTTGGGAAGGATGTCCAGAAAATGGTCAACTATCGTTCTGGGACACTAAATTTAGCCACTGAACAAATATTTTTCCTTTTCTTTCCAGTTAGTTTTGAGTTTTCTTCCTAATAAGAAGTAACATAAACAACCACCAGCTGTTAGTTTGAGTGGTAACTCCTAACACTTTCAGAAGAGAAAGTGTGGGGTTCAAGTCCTAGTTTGGATGTGGCTGTGGAAGTCATACTAGTCAAAAATAAGAAGTAACATAAGCAATAAATTAACATCTAGCAAGATTGATTTGTTCAAAAGAAGAGTAAAGGAAAAGTCTATAACTTATATAGAGGATATATTAAGTTCTATGTTTCTGTGTAATTAAGCCCAAGATAACAAATTAAAAACAAAACTCGCATTGAAAAGTATAGTAATGCAACTTTTCTTTATTATCATCCATGCTTGTACTTATCAAAAAAATAAAAATCATCCATGCTTGCATATTTTATTTTCAGTGTCATTATAAGATAAATTCACTTTTTGTTCCCTTCAAAAGATTTTGTATCTACTCCTGGTTGTTGTTGTTTTTTTTTTTTTTTTTTTTTTTTTTTTGTGAACAAACATTGCTTTTATTACTCATGATTGAGTAAATGTACTTGGATGCCCAAGTGTTTTGAACAAAGTTGCTGTGGGCTTTTCTTTTGATTCATGAAAGGTACCTTGTATTTCTGTACAGGTGGAGCAATCTCTGGAGGAAAATTGGTGATTGATGTTTCATACTTTGGATTGCACATCCACTCCGAGACCCATGAACTCTGTACGGAGACATCCTGCCCAGTTTCTGCTGGTGACTTTGTGATCTCTCACTCCCAGCTATTACCTGGATTTACTCCGCCAGTAAGTCATATTTCTGTTTCATACTACAACATGGTTGTTTTTTTTATGTTAAAAGAAAAAGGGAAAAGGAAATGCGGGGAAACAATGACTGGCTATGTATCAAACTATATTTTATTATATTTTCAAGCAAACCCAAGTCTAATTGATGGTTTCCACTTTTGCCTTGCTACCAATTTGAAGACAAAAGCAGAGTCTCATTTGAAAAACCTTACAAAACCATTTTATTTTAGTTTCTTAGAGCACCACCTTCCTAGGGGTTGTACCAGCCATTGCTGTAGCTTTAGTAATCTCCCTATTGTAGCTGTTGGATGTTTCTGCATTTTGGCCTTTTATATATCTATTTGACAGTGTCATTCATATGACTTAATAATACCTTGCATTAAAAGCCAATGATACTATAGAATTGCATCAATACGTAAAATATTTAAATTTTTAGTTTTCTGTTTTATTGAAAAAAGATGGAAGATAATGCACTAACGCTTTTATGACCCAACTTGCCATTGTGATCAGTTAAGTAAATGATTCTGTAACTGTCAAATATCAACTTTGGTTGCCTCCTGAGTCTTTAGCTCAGGTGGTATCTTCAAGTCCTCATTAGGGCAACACCTAGTCGGTATGGGTGTCTCTTACATACCAAAAGATAAAAATCAACTAATGTTAGGTAGTTGTTCTGTTGCAAACCTAGATGGTAGTGGCAAATATGCCACACAACATAATTTCCATAATGCATGCAGCAAAAATATCATATCTCATTGTAAGCATGCATTCCTAAGTCATTTGCTTCATATGATGAAAATAATGGAGAAATTTCTCAATTAAAATTCCAATTTCTGATAAGACTTCTTTTTCAGGCACAAATTGAATGAAAAAATAAATAATCAAAGCATTAATTTAAATTAATCGAACATAAGCATTAAATAAGGAAACAGTTGGAGCAGTGCCAGAGAATACTGCCAAAAGAATGGAAGACATTTTTCCATTTACTCTAAAGTCTCAAACAAGAATCTTCAATTATCAACAGTTAATGGCAACGCTGTTGCAGCATCGGGTCACTTCATTCTTAATCTATCACAAGCAACATTATAACGTAAAATTAAAACTAATGGAATAATAATTATTATTTTTGTATTAAAAATGATCAGAAAGCTTTTATTTACTTATTATATATCTTTTTCCATGTTATACCTTGTGTGATGTTATAGTAATAGTCTTTTTTGTTCTTTTTGTTTTTCCCCTTTGATGAATTCTAATATGTATAGTTTAATTTTTTACTTTTAATTGTGATTATTGTGAGTTGATAAAGGAATTAGATGCTTGCTTACGGAAACTAAACTTGCGTGAAAGCTGGAGACACCAAGAGATCACCTAAAACTTATGGTCCAATTGATCATAGCTGATGTGTAAAGTAATAAGAGTCGCTCAAGGGTGTGATGTGTGTGCCTTAGGCCCTAAGCAAGAGTTAACTCTCATAGAATCATTTGACGTAATTATTTAAGCCTCTGAATTGTTGACTAATGCAGATAGATTTTAAATCATATAGAATGTCCCAGTTTGATCAAAATTCATCTACAACATAACAAAGCTTGGAAAAAAACAAAAAAAAAAGTGTTACGAGCAGAAATGCTCGTCCCTCTTATTTATGCTTATTGATTCATCTTAATGTGTTATTAAAGCTTGGATTCCACTTCTTAGAGACCTCAGTACATGGCCCATCCGTATTGTTAATACTCATTTTACCGTTAGTGTAGCTGAAATCAATGTTTCCACAATTTGCTTCTCATTATAAAGGAATTTCTGAATCAAATTGCATGATTTTGTACACTTCCCTTTTATAACAGTAAATTTGGCCACCTCTCCAAACTCTTATTTCTTCCGTTATTTTTTCCCCTTTTCTGGTGAAGAAGCATTAAAGTAATGAATCCTATCTTAATGATACATAAATGTTATGGAGCAAAGGGCGAGATTATATGACATCAATAACTTTGGCAACTAGCAAAAGAAGTAATTTGGTCCATATATCCCACAGAATGGGGTCAGCCACATGAATTCCCGTCTTCATTCTTTCCAATTATACACCATGTCTTCTCTTAAATTTAAGTTTTTAAAGTAATTTTTTATTACTTTATCACGGAAGCTTTGGTCGGCACCTTAATAGGTGCATCATCGGGTCTATGTTGAATATGACCCTACCTACTTTCCCTAATTATATCATTTATAGGCGCTATTCCTAAAGTTCCCCTTACACGTTCATTATTTATCTCATCTCTTCTAGTGATTCCTATCATCCAACATAGCATCTTCATTTCCGCTACATGAATGCGTTGTATTTGTGCCTTTTTCAACGCCCAACACTCCACTCCATACAATATTGCCAGCCTAATAACCATTCTAAAGAATTTTCCTTTGAATTTATTTAATATTCGTTTGTCACAAAGGATACCACTGGTTTGCCTATATTTTTGTCCTCCCGTCTTCAATCCTACATACTACATCACCATCTATCTCCCCATCTTTTTGTAATATAGATACTAGGTAATGGAAAGAGTTCTTTTGAGTAACTCTTTGGTCTTGAAGTGGAATATTTATATTGTCATCGTTTTCTACTTTGTCAAATTTACATGTCATATATTCCATTTTAATTTTACTAATTCTTAGGTCCCTTGATTCTAAGGCATTTCTCCATATTTCTAATTTTCTTGCTAAGGCTTCCTTAGAGGTATTTATTAATTCTATCCGCAAATAACATGCACCATGGATGTTTTCCTGAATATCTTATCGTTATTTCATCTAATATTATCGCAAATTGGTATGGACTCAACACCCCGATCCTTGGTGTATTCCCTACCTTTATAGGGAAGTCATTAGTTTCCCTGCATGTACTGTCAACTCTAGTCACAGTATACATATCTTGAATAAGGTTTATAAAATTTTACAGGTACTTGTTTTCCTTGTAAGACCCACCAAATTATGTCTTGACACTCTATCATGCTACATTAAAACTTGTGCATCTTGAAGTTTTTATATGATCTTTTATTGACCTAAAAATATCATTCCTGCAATTAAAAAAAAAAAAAAAAAACCCTTATCTCACTTTTAATTTCAGACTTGAGTAATCTATACAATATCCTGTGAAGTCCATAGCATTTTTTTTTGGGTAAGCAGCCTAGCCTACATTGAAAAGGTGCCTTTTCAGAATATTACATTGGTTTACATTGGAAGGAAATGGGATAAACTTTAATCTGGCCTCTTGATATTGTTGTAGAGGCTATTTTTATAATGTACTACAGATACAGGGAGTGAATAAATTAATCTTACTGTTATTGTGACATTTTTCTTTTTCCCTTTTTAAACATATGTTACTCTAACTGATAATCTAAATTCTTTAACCTTTCTTCTACCTCTTTGTTTCCATCTTCCCTTATCCTCCATTTTTGGTTGCCTGAGAATACAGAGGATAAGGAACAATATCTTGTACCATCCGAAAAAAGATTCATAAGTAGTTGTTAAGTTGAAGTTAACAAATTCTGAGGAGTCGGTATTGACTCGGGTGTATTTGTATGTCTTTTTCTATGGAGCTGACGATTTTTGACACACAGGGTTCATACTCTCTTAAGATGAGGTTGCAAGATGCACATAATCAGCAGTTGACATGCATTGGCTTCGATTTCAGCATTGGGTTTGGAGAATCTGAAGTAGCGGCTGAATAGTTAAATGCTTTGAAGTGTGAATCGGTCACACCAAATAAATTATGTATATGAAATATCTATTACCTTTATGCCATTCTATAAGTTGTATCTACTTTAGCTTTGCTACTAGTGTGAATGTGTGATTAATTGTGTGGATTAATCCAGTTACTTCTGGAATATTAAATTTAAAGTTTATTTGAAGAACTGATTATAGTGGGATTTTGGAACTAGGTGTCGTTGTTTATCATTAATGTTGAAGTGGATTATTGTAACAAGGGGAATTTGTCTCACATTGGATCCAGATGGGAGAGTGATTGGGTATATATGGGTTGGGTGTTAGCCCCACCTAATTGCTTAAGCTTTTGGGTCGGATCGCGAAACACTCACCCGTTACAATTGGTATCAGAGTCAGACCCAATTCTTGATTCGGTGTCACACCAAGCGTCCGGTCTGGAGGGCGTTCAGGTCTACAACTCGGGTGGCCCGATCGCAATGAAGGCGTTGCGAGTTTAGGTGGGGGAGAATGTAACGCGCGGGCGCACGCGCGCCCGGAGGGGGGGGGGGGGGAGAGTTTGTCCCACATTAGATCCGGATATCCAATGTGATTGGGTATATATGAGTAGGGTGTTAGTCTCACCTAATAACTTAGACTTTTGGGTCGGATTGCGAAGCACTCATTCAGTACAATTATTGTGATGAATGCTAGGCTCAGGATTTACATTTTGTGCTGTTGTGTGATTGTCTTGTTTTTCGAAGATATTCAAAATATATGATTCAAGTAAACAAGTTGAGAAAAAGATGGTTGAATCAAAATAATTTCGTTTAAAGTTCGATTTCTGTCAAGGGTAATATGAATGTTCTATCATGTTCTATCAACGCACTAAAAGGCTTATATGATATATCCGGTGTGGAAGTAGGCCAACATTTCTATTGGAAAATAGGGGGTTTCCAAGTTCATTAATGCACTTACGATTAATGTGACGGTATTGATACTCCTGAAAGGTGTTCTATTTGCTCGTAGCTCCCGTTTGATTAGAGGAAGAAGCCGAGCTACAATAAAAACTCCTGCCGCTACCATAGTAGATACAGTCACAATTGTAAGGTTGTATTTCTACTTGGATATTTTAAATTTATTGACCAACCAGACTGCCCTGGTGGATAAATCAGGAATACAGAAACAAAAACAGCAATTGAAAGTAAAGAATGCGCATTATATAGGTTGCAATTGAACAGATCGAGTAAGTTTAAATTGAGAAACAAGAGAGCAATAAAAGTTGAAAAGAGTAAGTCTGAATTGAGAAACGAGAGAGCAATAAAAGTGCAGAGACCCCTTAACACCAATGAGTAAAATCTCCTTGTGTTTTATGACCGCATAGTAACAACAAAGAATGTGCTAAACTATTAGGAGGAGTAGAAACTGGTTAAGAAATTGTGATTACTTACTAGGCGGTGGTTTAAAACACAAGGAAAATACTAAATAAAATAAGAAGAATAAAATAAAAGTAGAACAATATGCATTGTACCTAGTAGTTTTTTTCAAAAATTTTATTGTACCTAGTAGGTGGATTAGAAGATCTTGTGTCAAAACTCGTATCTTGCTTCTTGTGTTACTCTTGGTCAATGAGGGGTAGTGTGATGGCGGGACAAAATGTTAAAGTCAATGTAAGTTGTCGCTTTATATCCAGAAAGCTCTCTAATTGATGAAAAGAGAAAAGAAGAAAGCCACTTATGAACACTTGTGATTGAATTATGACCGTTGGCACACCTTGTCTCCCTTGGGTTCGCCTCTAGTATAGTTGCGCTTTCATTGCTAGTGTTATCCGGACGATTTTCGTTGAAATGACCAATTTACCCTTCATTTAGTTATATGCTTTGTTGTGGGTGCTGAAGGGGCTAGTAGACAATGATGGGTAGGAGATGCAAATTTGACAGCCTAACCGTTACTTTATCCAGCAATCATTCAAGAATTTCAAAAAGCAACCAACAATGGCTTTCCCGTTTCCACTTTCCAGCCTTTGGAAACCAAAAGAAAGAAAGAAAGAAAAGTCTCCATCAACAATGGCTCTCTAATATCTTCACTGGCCAATCTCATCCTTAGTCCCAAGTGGATAATCACCACATGTACGCCAATTTCGGTAGCAGAAGCAAAACAAGAAAATATGAAAGGAATGAAGGGGAGATTCCTAAGGAAACTGAAATCCGTTTCCACAATCACCACTCTCAAACAAGGCCTAGTTTTTCATGTAAATCCTTCCAATCCAAACTTCCAAACACCACCAGTACTCTACAAAGAACAAGAACACAAGAACAACCATCCAGACCTCAATTCTAGCAATATCTGTGGATCCAAGGCCTTAAATGATGTCAAAGATGCAGAAATCGAATCAGGCGTTGACGGAGAAAGCCTTAGACCCCCCATAAAGTCCAAAGACGTAGTGCCTGCCCAGCACAAAGCAGAATTTGGGACTGCATTGGTGTCTGTAGAGGTACAATTACTGAAAGAATCACAAGCCTTTGAGCCTATAGTACTCATGGAAGATAGTTGGTGCAATGAAGTGAATAAGTTGAAGAGTGAAGAATTTGCAACACTGTCAGGTTTTGAAGAGAAGTGTCCACCAGGAGGAAGCGAGTCAGTCATTCTGTACACAACAAGTTTGAGAGGCATCAGGAAGACATTCGAGGACTGCAGCACTATCCGGTTTCTGTTGGAAAGTTTTCGAATCATGTTCTACGAGAGGGATGTTTCGATGCATCTGGAATTCAGGGAAGAGCTGTGGAGGATCCTGGGTGGCAGAGTAGTCCCACCAAGGCTTTTCATCAAAGGAAGACACATTGGAGGGGCTGATGAGGTGGTCGGATTGCACGAACAAGGGAAGCTCAAGAAGCTGTTGCAAGGGATACCACTAAATCCATCCAATTCTCCCTGCAATGGGTGTGCCGGGTTTCGATTTGTTTTGTGCTCCAACTGCAGTGGCAGTTGCAGGATCATCCCGGATGAGCAGCTCAATGAATTGTCAATTAGATGCCCTGAGTGTAATGAAAATGGACTTGTTAAGTGTCCAGTTTGCTGCTAGATATCTAATTTGTTTCTTTACTATTGATTTCTAGCTTATGTAATATATATGAACTTCAAAACTTTCATCTGTATGGTACTAACAAACTATGGAAATTTTTTTTTTGATTCCATATTAGCTAGCTTTATATATATATATATATAGTTGAAAAGGGTACAATTTGCTATTGTTGTTGAAATTTCGTCAAAAATACTACTCGCATGACTGCAGAAGAAAAATGCTTCTGCAGTGTCATGGATCAAGAAGTGAAGAGTAACAATGTGAGTAGCCAAACAGGATGCTATGGCAGCATTTTTATTGATCATGGCATACAAGTTTCATATTATATCTATATTGGTTATATGTGTGTGTTAATTTCCTACTTGGGTCTGAAAAACTGATAAATGATATTGAGTCCAATCAAGAAAGCTTTTTGAATGACAAATTAGTTGCAGATACAGGCAATAGGTGAGGATGAGGAACAACATGAGCTCAGAGACACTGCATGTTTTGATCCATCCTAAAGTTGCAGGTGTTTCTTAATCACCGTATTGGGTTGTGCATTGGTTGTGAATTGGAATTGATTATTGATGTGCAAACCAATGTGCATTTTGATCCTATTCCTTATAAATTAGGGGATTCGAATGCGGGCACACTTGTTCAGGGAGCTGGGTGCGCTACAAACTTAGCCATTAGGTAACATTCTTTAATATATTTTATTGATTTAAATTGATTATCACCTTTTCACATCTTGAAAAATTCAATTGCAATATACAATTGAAATATCTTTGGAACAGCACAAACAAATTCTACACCCACCTAATGCTACGAAGATTGAATAGTCAGTCTGATCTTCAAAAAGAAATTCTTATACGAGTGTTTTACTAGTAGTAATCAATAATCATATTTCAAAAGTAGTAGTAATCAGTATTGAAGCTAATATACACTTAAAAAGAGAAAGTAATAGTGATCATTAGACAATTTGCTACCTTGATCTGAACCTTGACGCAAAGAAATTAGAAAGAAAAAAAAAAACGAAAAACAATCTATTTTAAGATTCAACTATAATTATCACCAAAGCATATTGAGTGATATGCATGGCCAATGGTCCCCAAAAATCATTGTAGGAGTTGTTTTATTTTTCTTGCACAAACAGAAAAGTGGAACTTTTCAGAAATTATATTATGTCCACCATGTGAAGTTTGGGCAATAGTGGACCAAACAATGTCGCTCTTATCATGGGGTATAATTCACGTGGACTAATATTGTTGCAATACAACAGGGAATATCCTGAACGTGCACAACTAGACTTTCAATGGAATTGGAGACCCATGAATATGGATTATACATATATATCATTTCATTTACATATGCTACTTTAATTGTGAAATTTATTTTAAAAGAGAAGGGTAAAGTGCAACCAAAAAAAAAAAATTAAATTGAGCAAATAAGGACATGTAAATTTAAAGACCAAAATACCTGACAAAATAAAAATAAATAATGGGGTTTTTATTATTTAAAAAAAAAAATAAATAAAAAAAAATAAAAAATAAAAAAACCATAAGTTGGGATCCTTCTCAAGACCTTATAGACAAAAGTTTGGGAAAGAAAAAAAAAAAAAAAAAATCCCATCTTTACAGCTAGAGGGTTTCAGCAGAGCACTGGAAATGAATCTGTAGTTCCAACATTAACAATTATTATCGAACAAGAACAATGAATATAAGCCAGTCAGATCCTATACTTTTCAAAAGAATCAAAACTTAAGGATCATATGCCTTTGCAATCAGAAAGCATCTGCCAGAGTAGGATTGTTTTCATTCACACCAAAAAGAGAGTATTTTGAGAAATGCAAGTGGAACACAAAGTGATAAACAGGTTTTCTCATTCCAATCAAGTTTACAGTTAAAACTAAGAAAGGTGCCCTACAGAGGTTGACAAACAGGCACAAGACACAAACACGAGCTCCGGACATTGGCAACCCTCATTTAGCCCATTCATCCAATGGCATGCCCATGATAAAGAGAAGAGAAAAGAAAAAAAAAAAAAAAGGGTTAGATAATCACACTTCCTACAATTATAGCAAGTCATAAGCAAACATTTTCAGTTATTGCACTTCAAGTACTTGTGGTGAAGCCGTAGCCGTGGCCGTGGCAGTGGAAGCTTCTATTGCTGGAGTGTCGGGTGCTGATTGTTGTAACTGAGTGTAGTGAAATTCAATCTGTAATCGGTGATGAAGAGGAGTTGAAGCCATCAAACCTTTCTTAATATCTGCCTGCAATTCCCTAATTGGGATTGCAGCCAAGAAGCTCTTTATATACTCCTTGCAAGACTCCTTCCCTTGACACACAACCTCCTCTTCCTCTGTACTCTTCATGGATTCTTCGGGTTTAATTATTACCATCCCTTCTACAGAACCCTCATTAGGGTTAATCTGCTGAGTCTGCCGGTTCTTGGGTTCTTCTGCAGCAGCAACTATCTGCTGATCTCCTCCAGTTTTCTCTTCTGATGATTGTGCGGTACTTGGCAGTTTGTATATTGCAGTGTTCCTGTCAAATTTCAAGATATAAGCCTGATTGCATCCTTCGTACAGCCTCTCCCCTAATGTGTCAATGATGTAGTAAGCTTCCGGTTCAATCTTGAGGACAAAAAAATGGTCATTCCAACTGACAACATAAACTTGGGTTTCACCGTTTATAGAACATTCTGACCCTGCACGGCTGATCTCGTCCCATATATTGTCAAAGGACATGGCACCATGCAAAAAATCAAATCTTTCCTCCTCCATTCCAACTGGATGGAAAAACCCAATAAAAGACTTCCCAGGAACTACAGAAAGAGGACGTATTTTGGCTTGGAGGACTGTTTCCAGATCAAAGTGCTTGTCAGGAAACCGCTCCCTGTAGCTCTCATTTTCACAGAGGTTCCTCCATTCTAACGAGCCTTCTCTGATCAGACAGTCAAATTGGGACTTAATGGGCATGAGATCATGGTTGTTCTGGAACCAATCAGCAATGACAGCAACAAGGGCTGTACATGCACTCTCGCCTGCAGCCCTTTCACTCCTCTGATCGATGGAAGCAAAGAAGACCTGAGTTTTAACCTTCATGTGCCCATCACGGCTTGTCACATCTTTCTGTTCCCAACAGCCAATGGCAAAATTGTCATCCCCAAACTCAGACACTGATGATCGATTGGCACTTAAGTCTCCGTCAGACTTACCCCACTGTCAAAATAGTAGCTATTTTTTAGAATTTGACATAATTATGTTCAACAAATAAATAAACAATACAAACTTATAAGATTTGAAATATATCATCTTCATAGCATATGTTACTAGTGTAATATAATATAAACATATCTAATTTGAGGCAATAATGAGACCATTTCATGCCAAGATTCGGCTGACTCAACTGAATCATTCCTGTAAGTGATAAAATTATAGGGGGAAAAAGGGCAGCATGGAAACTTCAGGATCAGAAGGTTGAGTGAACTTGCCAAAGAACACTACATCCCACGAGATTGGTCTGTGGCAATCAATAACAGAGTCCTAATGTTGTCATTTTGTGTGCTATTATAATGTGCTGCTGATTGCAACGGCACTTGGTGATGAGAATTGAGGTTTTAACTTCATAATCTTGTCTTGACTACAAAGAAACATTTCCAAAATTACATGCAAAACAGAGAACGGTCAGCCTCTTACCCCAAAAGAGAGAGATTCATCAGAGCTCAGCTGTCGACGGTCGAAGTCAATGTCATCCCCACCTTCTTCTCCATAAGCCTTCTTTAACAGTGGCTCCCCTTTTGCTTTAGGAGACCTAAAACTCAGCTTCCTCTTCCTCCAAGGAAGGATACTACGCTTTGAACTCTGTAATAAGGTGGATTCAGAAACAACAGAGGCAGTAGAATCCTCAACGTGTGAGCATCCCACATCTGATTTTCGGTTGCTGTAGTAAATCCAATCTTCATCCTCACTGTTGATCCCCATGTTGGAGCAAAATGATCCTCCAGCACAATTGGCATAAGCCAATGTGCCATAACTAAATGATTTTCTAGCACTGCAATCTTCTTTGCCCTCATCTGATTCTCCTTCCTCAAATTCATCGAGTGAGTCTGAGTCAAAGGGGCAGGTATAATCACCATCCTCACTCCTCGCAGAGCACCTGCCCTCGCTTCCCTCTTCCTCACGGCAGGCCTTTTTTGCTCTTCTGGACGATACATACTCTGTAAAGATTTTTACCTTTCTCAGACCAGCCTTAAGAGCAGAAAGCTCATCTTTCTCTGTTGACATAGTGTCTCCTGATTGCGGTGGTGATGCAGCAGGGATGATTGATCTCTGCACTGACTCTGCTGGTTCTTGAGCAGTTCTCAATTCCAATAAACTGAGAGATATCTGCAACACAATAGATCCCAAGATAAGAAAACCTAAGAAACCTTAGCAGAACTATGGAAGGGAGCAACACCTTGATGAACCCTTTCATAAAAAGAAACTAAAAAATCCAATGATAACACATCCCCAACTTTGCTCAAGCTGCTCTGCTTGCCCCAACAATTCTTAAATACAATGTAATATAATAAAATTGACAAATAAAAGCCATGGTATGCCGCAAATGCCACATACACAGAGTGAGGGATGAGGTTCAGCTGCACTGCCTGAGACGAGAGGGATGTTAAGATCAAACTCTTTTTCCTCGGCTTTGGAAGCAAATTCAGCAAGGTTCAGTGATGCTGTTCCGACAACAGAAACCTTATTTTTGGGGTTTAAGCCCTGTATCCAAAACAAAATAATGAGTTTTCATGAACAAATTACTGGAAAATTTTCAAGTGTTATAAAATACCCAAAAAATGATGCAATGTGCCATTATGGTTAACAAAATCCAAAATTATGCAAGAAAAAATTGTATTCCAGGTCAAATATAACGGAAGTATTGGAAAGTGTTTTTTCTGACAAATACTAAGAACCAAGAACACAATCAAGAATCATGACAGAAAAGTAAACACGCCACACACAACACAACGAACACAAAGTTTTACGTGGTTCAGCATAAGCCTACATCCACAGTGAAGATCCGGATTGTGAAAAAAAAAAAAAAGAAAGATTACAAGTTTCAGCCCCCAAAACCCTAATTCCCTCTCTCTTTTCCTGAGATTTTTAGTGTTCTCTTGTGACACGCCCCAAACCCTAAAACGCGGGCTAAAAGAATATTCTAGAACCACACAAAGCCCAATTTTCGGAGGTGTTGCATCCCGGGCTGGAACAAAATTCTGGCCACAACATCACAGTTCTGATGATATAGAACAATTAGGATGTCTGTGCCTTTGTACACATTAAATTTCAGTAAAAGACAAATCCGCAGTAATGCAGTCCACTCCCAGTTTTCACAGGTTAGGACAACAAGAATTAATAGTAGAGAGTTCTAAGTCAACAAAAATGGTCATCACATCTACAAACTTTCAACCATATGCAATTTCTTTTGCAAAATACCAACAATTGTGGTTTCAGATGTCCCCTACAAAGATCATAACCATATCATAAAGTAAGATGCTCAATTTACAGAAAAGCTCAGCAATCAGTTAAATGACCTCAAAATAATTCCATAGCTTGATAGTTTAGCAAGTCAATCTATAGATACAATATAACCCGTCCACCAGCAACTCCATAGGAATTCAAAGATAATAAATCAAAACTTCAATTTGCATATGGTCAAAGAAAATAAAACAAAAGGCAGGGAATATAATACACACAGACATTACATAAAACCCTATTTCATTCTTGACATAAAGTCTTGAATTAAATAACAAATTTCCTGCACAAAAACAAAGGATTCATGAAATTCAAACAGTATTTGATCCAAAAACAAGAATTCGATGAAATAATCACAAAGACTCAAAAAATCCAAACAAACCCAATACAAGAGATTGCATATTGAAATACTTTCCAAACAACCCCACATTTCTCACATCGATTATCAGAATATGTAAGAACTTCAATCAAAACCCAAATCCAAAAAATTAAAAAAAAAAAAATCAACAAGAGAAAATCCAAAGAAAAGAAAGAATCCAAAGTCATAAGAAGCAAGCACTCACATTCAACACAGTAAATGCGATCTCCCAAGGATGGAACACGTTGTCCTTGTAGCCAGAGAGACAGCACGCGCTCTGAAACTCCTCGTCCCACTCGACGACGCCATTTGGCCCCACACCCTCCTCCTTGGTGAAGTTCCTCTTCACCGTCCGTCTGAACGAACTCAACGCGATCTTGGGCCCCTTCCACCGAATCTCAACCGCCAATCCCGCGACCTCACGTTCCTTCTCTGCGTCCTCACGCTCCTTCTCTGATTCCTCACGCACATGATTACAACCCTCAAGCCTCCGCACCACCAGTCTCACCTCAAACTTCTTGGACAGCAGAGGAGGCCATGGCCTCCATTTAATCATCTTCACCACCATTTCTAGAGAGAGAAAGTGCCCTAGTGGGAGAAGATCTGCATAAATTACAGCGCAGAAAAGAGAGAGAGAGAGAGAGAGAAGAGAAGACTTATGAAAGTCTCCGAAGATCAATGTTTAATGAAGATAAAGGTGGGTTGGGTTTCTTCGGATCTCCGATAATGTTTGAAAGAAAAACAGTTAAGAGTGAGATTCAATGTGTTGTTGTAGATACAAAAATCCTAGAGGATTTGTTTCCAAGAAAAGCTCGATATCAGAGGGGGGTAGAGAGACGAAGATGCCGTTATTTTCTGCTTGGATATAAAAATGGAGAGAGAGGCAGTGGAATGCTAAAATGTAAGTGTTTGGTAAAGGGAAGAGTGGAACTCTGAGGTTGGGTAAAGAAAACCAAACTGTGGTTAAAATGACTACACTACTCTATGGAGACTTTGTATGTATCTATCATTATATCTATACAATTATATATATATATATAATTGTATTGCGGATGTAACGGCGTATGAACGAGGTCGTTGACTCCCGTTTGAGTTTTAAGCCTAACAACCCAGCAAAATTGACACCTTGTTGTAAAAAAAAAAATTCCCTTTTTCTTTATTATGAAAACAGTGTTTTGAATTGAAGTCTCTGAACATTTTTAATTGGTCAGTCTGATGATTCTGATCTCATATATAATGTAATTTATTTTATTTTTAACATCAGTAATTATTGATTTAATTTATTTCAATTTATGAATAAATTGAACATTTGGAATTGAAGTATATGGATAAATAATTTCCAAATTTAACCATTAGAATTTTTTTTCAATCTAACCAAATACAGAAGATTCTGTTAGATTTGGTTCTGATAATATTTTATAATGTGGATAATAAGAGATCATTTCTCATAATTATCCTTTCTCCAAATAAGGAAAGACTTGAAACTTTGAAGTTAAGAAAAACAGTTTATTCATTTTAAATACTAAACGTAATTATTATATCCCTTTCAATTTTCAATATTCAAAGTATACACGAAAAAAAAAAAAAAAGACCGAACCATTCTACTCGCAAAATGACATATGTCTATTTTGAATTTTTAATATAAGAAAAAAATTTAAGACTTTTTTTGCATTTTTTCTTTACACATTTTAAATTTTTTAAAAAAAGAATGTATTTGGATATTTAATAAAAGATAAAGTGCAAAAAAAAAAAAAAAAAAAAAAAAAATCACCAAATGTGCAAATAGCTTTTGGTAATTAAAAAAAAAAAACCTACATTTTTTAAATTGAGCAGGACATTTTGTCAATTTGAATACTGAAACACTTACAATTCCTTTAAGACAATAAAAATAAAAAAAAAAAACTTTGAAGGACGATAGAGATATTATTAAGAGTATTTAGGATTTTTCTAAAAAAATGAATAATTGGTCAAAATTACAATCACCAAATATTATGGGATGATTTGTAAGTATATTTAAATATTAGGGATTTATATGTACACACTAAACATTCCAAGTATTTTTTTGTACGTTTTTAATACAGTAGGAGTTTTTTTTGACATTTTGTCCTTTAAAAAATATGAGTAGACGGTAGACCATACACATTCTTAACTTTTTTTATTATTTTTATTTTTTATAGATCAAATATAATACACACCCAGCACAATTTTATTTGGAATTTGTAATCTCAATATTTACTCGAGAGAAGAAAAGAAATTTACGTAATCTAATTATCAGTGATTATTTTGCTCTCCTGTTGTTAGAGCGTGTTGGCTTGTCATACTGAGTACCGTACCATTTGAAAAACCAAATTTTAGTTCAGATTTTTTTGATCAAAAACAGATAATTGAAAATACTTAACAATGATACATCAATTTCATAACTTTTTTTATTAGAAAAATAATGAAGAGATATATATATACTAGTATACATATATATACTAGTAGCTAAACTGGGGTAAACATAATTTCGACTCTCTTTTTAATAGTCAAAATGATTTGATCACACTTCACGATTTGGTGGGGGAAAAAGGAGTGACCAATTAAACAAACTTTATCGAATATTTAGGCATACAAAATAATGCCTTGAAATGAAAAACACAGCAACGTGGTGCGAACGTTGTCTTTTTTCATGTCCAAATAGCGGTGAATGTGAGAGAGAGAGAATAAGTTGTAAGTTGTTAGTTGTAACAAGACAATGATGAGGCCTTAAGACTATGGATATCAACAGTGAAACCCATATACAAACATTGTTATTTTAAATCACACTTTTTTGTTTGCTTCTGGTGAGCCTCTACATAAACAACAACAAGAGGAATCATCTTTGTGGCAATCTATTTGGGCAGTTATGCATAGGGGTGTGAGACAAATCATGTAAAAAGAACGAGTGTTATATGTAAATTCATTTTTCGTTTATGATATAAAATCTTTTAAACTATAATGATAGTATATTTATTAAAATTTTGTAATTTAGTATTTGGTGTAGTACTATAATGCTAATCTCTTGAGAAGTCTCTGATTTAAGGAAGTTAAAAACGGACAATATTGTGTCTCGATATGATAAGAATTGTTACAAATAGTATCAGCGTGAAAGTTGTTATAAATGGTATGACTTAGTCGAAAGTGTGACCAATTCGAAGGAGCCAAAAAGGGGCATCTAAATAGGGTGAGACTGTTACAATCTTTGTCCATCACTTACTACTTAACTACACAAATAAATCAACTATTTCACCATTCCAAATGAAAACCTATCTTCCTCTCACATTTTTTTTATTTATCTAACTTGTAATTGACTTTAAAAAAGAGCATTTTCTGATTTTGGCTTGAATTCATAAAATATAAGGTTATATTTGTATGAAATAATCATGTTTACCCATCTCTTTAACAATTTAAGTTTACATTTGATTATTAACAATTGTGTGATGTCATCTTGTGTGATTGTGTCAATTTGAATGGAACACGACAATGAGCTCAACCTTTTAGCAGATTGGAGGAAAAGATTGTTTTAAGAGTGGTCTAAATTGTAATCAGAGGCTATTTGTAATAGCAAATGAAATCATCTTGTTAGAGTTTGCATATAAATAATAACAATAATAATTAGTGGTGGTTTAATTCATTTCTAGAGGGTGATCAGTTTGTCATTAGAAGAGAGATAATTCAGATTATTCCTAATTTTCATCTCTTGTGTGAAAAGACTCGTGCTTATGATGAATCCAGAGATTTTTGGATCTTTAGAGTACATTGAATATTTTCTAATTTACTAAACATCGGAATGAGAATAGGAGCAATTTGTTGAGTATGGTTAAAGAAATTTCTAAAAAAGCTTTCAAGTTGTCAAACCATTTTCCTCACTGTAATTGATGGAAGTGTACAATTCATGCACTTTTGGTGTCATGTTAGTTGGTTTCTAATGTTAAAGTTGTTTATTTGCTTTGTTTGGTGAGTGAAGATATTGTGTTTTAAGAAGTAATACATTCTAATTGAAGAAGAATACCGGAATTTAGTTCATTTTTCTAATGTTTGGTGACCTTCTTATCATTGTCCATTTGTCCTGGTCAATAATCTTCACATTATGCAAGGCTTTGTGTGTTTGTGTTTTTGTGTTTTTTTTTTGTTGTTTTTTTTCTTTTTCATTCGATAATGAACGCTCTTTATATTTTTCTTTTATTTTCTTACTTTTGTAATTAATTTTTCTCTCAATTTACCTTATTGCGTTTGTCTAAATCTAGATGAATATTAATGATCAAGATCATCTAATCAACCTAATTTTGGAACATTATTTCTTTGGTAGGAATTAATTAAGTATATTTACCTTCATCACTTTTTTTACCGTCACATAATTTAACAACGGTACTATAATTTAACACACTTTGAACATGTCTAAAGATTTCAATGCCATCAACAAACCTCTTCAGTGAGGTTTGCGTATGAAATCTCTGTTTGGTTGCCGAAATAATGGAAGAAAAGAAAAGTGCACGAGACTATGAATTATGTTCCTCATTTTCTAAATTTTCAGAACACAACTTATTAAATTAGGTGTTGAGGAAGGTCCTTGTATCGTTAAATAAAAATAATTAAGTTATGATCCATTTGTTAAGGTAGGTCAAATCTAAATCACATAATTCTTCTACACGAGTAATGTTTTCGCAACTTTTACATTCGTACATACTCCCTAGCCATTTTACGTGATTTAGTATCAAACCAAAATTCAAAGTTTTCTCCTAATTTTTCAAACATTTGCCTAGCTGTAAAGCCAACCTGCCCTCATGAATAAAGGGCTGCCCTAACTTGTGGGCGTCCACAATCCACTTCCATGGAAACTTCTCACCTCCATTAACCCAAAAAGGGAGGTCCTTAAAGGTCTACATGATCCTTACCCACTCTTTTAAGCAAAACCACATATATATATATATATATGGTATATATGTATTGGTACCAAAGCCACATGTGGTGCACATGTGGTCAATGACCTATCAACAAAGCCACTTACAATACAAGAAACGGGGTTAGCTGGATCATCCATCATCTTAATAGTTGACTTCAAATGTTTGCCAATCAAAATACATTGTAGAAAGTTGAGGAGCATACCATACATGTTCATCAAAATTTGAGAATTATTTGAAATTTTGCTATAATGTTGATGTCCATAATGTCCATCCAAATCTTTTTATTCGTTGGTAGTTTGATTTCCTTTTTCTTTTCATTACCTTTTTTTTTTTTTTTTAGTTGTCCTTTTTTCTTTTTTACATTGGCATCTTATGACTTATGATGGAAAAATATCATTAGTTCATCACCATAGTGAGAAATATGAGATTAGATAGCTTGTTTGCAGGAAATAAAAAAGAAAAAATGTCAATTACCTAATATTGCTTCACCAAATACAGAAGTTTCAAAAGGGTAAATTATTTACAACCTTTATTTAATTTGCATAGAGAAAAAGATAAGGAAAAGAAAAATAACAGAAATTGTAATCAAATATAATTTTATAATCCACTCTAGAGTTGATATGGAATCTTTGCGAAAATTAGATAGAATTAAGCTTGAAAAACACGAAATGCATTTTGAATTATTAATTTTTTTATTTGGAAATTGTATTTTGTTAAGTTATAAATGTAGGAAATCTCATAAGGAATCAAAACTATGCCAACCTTGACTTAGAATTATGATGACCTATACAGAATTTTTCTGTCCTATTACAAATATAAGATACAGTTTCCGTTTTTTTAAAAATCTTTTCTTCTTAAGACAAAAAAGCAGATTTTGTAACCCCAACAAAATTGATTTATTATTATTATTATTTAAAAGGTAATAAGGGTTATAAGTTAAATTAATAAATGTGGAGAGTCGAAACGTGACATTCCAAAGTCACTCACTAAATTATCTAGGCATCTGCATGCAAGGAAATTGATGGTTTAACCAAAATTAATTATCACAAAGTTACAT